ATAATGCTATCATGAAAACAAAATTAATAGTGACTCCACGGGTTTTTTATTGCCTATTTTCACAGTACTGGAAACTAAATGCAGGAGCCTCTTGTATTTTAGAGAAGTGCTCTCTACCACTGAATCATTATTTCTGTATTTCTCATACAGTAAAAAAAATAGTACAGTATAATTCTATATGTGGTAACAGACTATAGATTCTAAATACATGAAAGGCACTTAAACAGCTTTAAAATACACCTTCAAATTACCAAGCTTATGTTAGGAATTCCTTTTTTCTGGGTGTCAGAATCAAATCACCCATTGATGAGTCTACGATTACATACAGCTGAAACTGGGACAAAGCAGTTGTTTTGGTACAACAATTATAAAATTAGTGGAGGTAGGAAATAGCAAGCCAAAATGTGGGGAGACATCTCATTACTGTCAGAAAACATCCTGTGTATTGGAAGCAAGCATCTAAGCTAAAGAGACAAGCAGTTAAGCATCTCAGGGCTAACTAAGCAAATGTGTACAGCTGTTAGAATACAATTTCAAGGGATACACAGCTGGGTGTGGTGGCATACATCTGTAATCCTAGTATTAAGGAAGCTGAAGCAGGAAGATCGCTGTTCAGGACTAGCCTGGTCTACATAGTAGTGAATTCCAGGTCAGCCTGAACTACATAGCAAGACCATGTTTCAGGGGAAAAAACAAAAAATAGGGATACAGCTCAATCTAGAATACAGTCTTCAAGTTAAAAGTATTTATATACACTTAGTCAACATTTTAACCAGTTGTGGCTAAGTACAATGTCATTAAAAATTAAATATATTTAAGAACTAAGAAAGGTATATTGAGAACTGAAAAGGACTTCAAAGACCAGCTGACCTAACCCCCCTTATTGTAGGAACTCCAATGAAACTGCTTTCTTGGGCAATGCAATCCTCTAAGGAGTCACACGTGGTGGCACACATCTACAATTCCTAAATTCCAGCCTGGAATACTTATTGACTTGGGGAGAACCTATCTCAGAATAGAAGCATGAATGGATCCAGGATTCAGCCCCCAGTACTGGGGGAAAACCTTAGAAGATTTGAGTCCTCGTAGTTCCAACCTAGCTTCCATCCAAACAATTCAGGGACAGTGACCTAAAAACTGTTCAGGTAAGAATTAAAAAATAAAAGACAGGTCAGCCTAAGAATCATCTTTTTTGAACATAATTTGAAATCTGGACCAAATATTTGCTGCAATACCTATGAATATATCAAAGCAGCACTCTCAAGGAAAACAAAAACTAAGCCAAACCAAAATCTGACCCTAACAAAGGCAGTTTCAACCTGAAAAACATACTGTAGAGCTGTAAAACTGACACAAGTTAACTCTAGCAATTGACAAAAGTTAGGTACAACTGATAAGCTTTTTATAAGGTCTTATTTTAAGGAGTAGAATATTTATACAAGGTGTTTTGCTTTAAGAAATTAAATATTTCCTTCTTCTAAATACTACAGTGTTACTAATACCACATACTACAGTTCTATTTAGTAACATCTGTTACTAAATAATGCAACTAAATAGTACAGTAAACATATAAAGCATCTCATTTCATCTTTACAATACTAATGTTAAGTAGTATGAACATTTCCATTGAGTTGTTGGGTTTTCCTTTTTTTTCTCCCATATTATGTATTTGATATAGGGTCTCACTACACATATCGGACCCGTAGTGATTCTCTTGGTTTCAGCCTCCCCAGGACTGAGATTTCAGGCACGTACCACTGAAGAGTAGATTTCACTACTCTTCAACAGTTCAGTGCACCATGGGGGTAGGGCTGGTGCAGCATGCAGGACCAGGGCTCAAACCTTGGTCCCTGTGCTTGCCAAAGCAGGCACTTAGTCCACTGAGCTATCTTGCTGGCCCTGTTGCTGGGTTTTCTAACCAAAGGGACAAAAGGTCTAACAGAGATGAATTTAGACCACCTTAGTCCCTTGGAAGGAAACACATCACACATATACATACGCACAAAACCAAATATACAGCCCTTGGGTAAAAGTGATCAAAACTGAAAGATGTGAGGCAGGGGAGATAGCACGGTGGTTTAAGTGCCTGCCTGACAAGCGCAAGGTCCTGAGTTCAATCCCTGGTAGAAAAAAAAAAATGTTGTACTGTCATTTGGGGACATTTCCATGCATGGATTGTAACCGCAGAGGAAAGCTGGAGCATACTGAACTCTGTGACTTTCTGCAATAAAGTATTTAAATGAGAAAAATGTGAAAAGAGGCACTTTCCAACAATGTTGCAAGAAATTGATCATAATTGATTTTAAAAAGTATTACAAAGTTTAGACAAAAAAGAAACACAAATTTCACTAATCTTAAAACTTGAAAAACTGACACTGCTTAAAATCTTATGCTGGAAGGGCCAGATAGATAGTTCAGTAGATTAAAGCGCCTGTTTTGGCAGACGCAGGGACCAGGGTTTGATCCTCAGTGTGTTGTGCTGGGCCTGGCCCAGGGCATGCTGAGACAGTCATTGAGACTGGGCATGGTGACACACAGTTGTAATTCCAGTGCTTGGGAAGCTGAAAACAGGAGGATCACTACGAGTCCGATCTATGGAGTGAGACCCTGTAGACCCTGTACTAAATACATTAAAAAGAAAAAAAGAAAAAAATCTTAAAAAGAAAAAGAAATAAAATCTTATGCTGGGCATGTTGATATATGCCTGCAATCCCAACCTCAGGAGGCTGAGGCAAAAGGACTGCCAATTTTAAGACCAGCCTGAACTATGCAATAA